GGGAAGAGGAGAGAGGAGGGAGGGAGGAAGAAAAGAAGGAATGGGGGGGAGGGGAGGGAGGGAGGTGGGGGGGAGGAGGGAGAAGGTAGAAAAGGGGGAATGGGGGAGGAGAGAGGAAGAAAAGGGAAGGGGGAGGTGGGAGGAGGGAGGGGGAAGAAGAAAAGGGGGATGGGGGAGGAGGGAGGGAGGGGAAGGGAGGGAGGGAGGGAGGAAGAAGGGGAAGGGGGGAGGAGAGAGGAGGAGGGAGGGAAAAGGAATGGGGGTGGGGAGAGGAGGGAGGAGGTAGAAAAGGGGGAATGGGGGGGAGGAGGGAGGGAGGAAGAAAGAAGGAATGGGGGAGGAGGAGGAGGAGGAAGGAAAAGGGGAATGGGGGGAGGGAGGGAGGGAGGTAGAAAGGGGGAATGGGGAAGGAGGAGGGAGGGAGGGAGGAAGAAAGGGGAAGGGAGGAGAGAGAGGGGGAGGGAGGAAGGGAAGGGGGGAGGAGAAGAGGAGGGAGGGAGGAAGAAAAGAAGGAATGGGGGGTGGGAGGGAGGAGAAAAGGGGAATGGGGGGAGGAGGGAGGGGAGGGAGGTAGAAAAGGGGGAAATGGGGGGGAGGAAGGGAGGGAGGAAGAAAGAAGAATGGGGAATGGGGGGGAGGGAGGGAGGAGGTAGAAAAGGGGAAGGGGGGAGGAGAGAGGAGGAGGGAGGAAAAAAGGGAGGGAATGGGAGGAGGAGGAGGAAAAGGGGAAAGGGGGGGAGGGAGAGAGAGGGAGGGAGGAAGACAAGAAGGAATGGGGGCGAAGGAGGAGGGAGTAGAAAAGGGGGAATGGGGAGGTGGGAGGAGGAGGGAGGGAGGAGAAAGGAGAGGTAGGGGGGAGGAAGAGAGGGGGAGGGAGGAGAGAGGGAGGAAAAAAAGGGGAATGGGGGGGAGGGAAGGGAGGGAGAAAAGAAGGAATGGGGGGGGGAGGGAGGGAGGAGAAAAGGGGGAATGGGGGGAGGAGGGAGGGAGGAAGAAAAGAAGGAAGGGGGGTGGGGGAGAGGAGGGAGGGAGGAAGAAAAGGGGGAATGGGGGAGGAGGGAGGGAGGAAGAAAAGAAGGGAATGGTGGGGGGAGAGGAGGGAGGGAGGAAGAAAAGGGGGAATGGGGGGAGGAAAGGGAAGGAGGGGGGGAGGGAAGGGAGGAAGAAAGGGGAAGGGGGGGAGAGAGAGGGAGGAGGAAGAAAAGGGGAGGGGAGGAGGGAGGGAGAAGAAAGAAGGAATGGGTGGGGAGAGGAGGGGAGGGAGGAGAGGAGAAGAAAAGGGGGAGGGGAGGGAGGAGAAAAAAGGAATGGGGGGTGGAGGGAGGGGGAGGTAGAAAAGGGGGAATGGGGGAGGAGAGGGAGGGAGGAAGAAAGAAGGAATGGGGGGTGGGGGAGAGGAGGGAGGGAGAAAGAAAAGGGGAAGGGGGGAGGAGAGAGGAGGGAGGGAGGAAGAAGGGGGAATGGGGGGAGGAGGGAGGGAGGACGAAAAGAAGGAGGGGGGTGGGGAGGAGGAGGGGAGGAAGAAAAGGGGGAATGGGGGGAGGAGGGGAGGAAGAAAAGAGGAATGGAGAGGAGGGAAGGGAAGGGGAAAAGGGGGAATGGGGGGGGAGGGAGGGAGGGAAAAGGAATGGAGGGAGGAGGGAGGAAGAAAAGGGGGAATGGGGGAGGGAGGGAGGAAGAAAAGAAGGAAGGGGTGGGGAGAGGAGGGAGGGAGGAAGAAAAAGGGAAGGGGGGTAGGAGGGGGAGGAAAAAAAAGGGAAGGGGGGAGGAGAGAGGAGGAGGGAGGAAAAAAAGAGGAATGGGGGGAGGGAGGGAGGAAGAAAGAGGTGGGGGGAAGAAAATAGGAAGGAAGAAGCGAGGAAGAGGGAGAAGTGTGGGAGGAGACAGGGAAGGGAAGGGAAGAAAAGGGAAGGAGGGAGAGTAGGAGAAGGGAAGGGAAAAAGAGGAGGGAAGGAAGGGAGAGAAAAGAGGAAGGGAGAGAGAAAAGAAGGAAAGGGGGTGGGGGAAGAAGGAAAGGAGGGAGAAAGAAAATAGCAAGGGGGAAGAAGAAGGAAGAAAAGACGGAAGGGAGAGGATAGAGAGAGGGAAGGAGAGAGAGGGAAAAAAGGGAAGGAGGGAGAGTAGGAGAAGGAAGAAGAACGGAGAAGGGAGGACAGGAAGGAAAAGAGAGAACAGGAAGGAAAGAGAGACAGAAAGGAGAACAGGAAGGAAAAGGGAGAGAGAGGGAAGGGAGAAAGGAGGAAAGCCCTTCCAATTACCCGAAAATATAAGAACCCCCCTCCGTGCAATACCCGAAGCCGTTCCCCGGAGACCCCGAAGGAACACCACGAAGGCGAGGTCAGAAATGGGGCCGAGCCAAACCACGACCCCCAGACCCGCGCCTGCATTCCCTCGGGGGTCAAGCTAGGTCAGAACGGGTCGGGTCTCGCCGGCGCCTCTCCAGCCCTACCCCGGGGAGGACGTCGCCCCAGCACCCTTTCCCTGAGGACTCCGACGGCTTTTAGACTCCCTTGATAAAGGGTTAAATGTACGCTGGCTTTCTCTAATTACCTCCCGTCTCCCCGGGGAGTCTAAAGGGAGGGGGGGAGAGGGAAAGGAGGGGAAGAGATGGAAGGGAGGGGAGGAGAAGGAGAGGGAAGGGAGGGGGGAAAGGGAAGGGAAGAGAAGAGAAGGAAGGGGAGGAGAGGGAAGGGAGGGATGCGAGAGGGAAGGGAGGGGGAAGAGGGAAGGAAGAGGAAGAGAAGGAAGGGAGGGGGGGAGAGGGAAAGGAGGGGGAAGGAGAGGGGAGGGAGGGGAAAGGGAAGGGAGGGAGGAGAGGGAGGAGGGAAGGAAGGGAGAGAGGAGGAGGAAGGAGGGAAGGAAAAGAGAGAGGAGGGAGGGGGAAGGGAAGGGAAGAAAGAGAAGAAAGGGGAGGAGAGGGAAGGGAGGGTGAAGGAGAGGGAGAGAAGGAAGGAAAAGGGAAGGAAGACGATGGGGAGAGAGAAAAAGTGAAAGGAAAAGAGATGACAAGGAGCTCGATAGGGAGAAAGAAGGGAGGGATAAAAAAGTATGAAAGGAAGTTGAAGAGAAGGAACGTGAATGATAAAGTGCAAGGGAGACGAGAGGGAGAGAGGAGGGGGAGGGATGCAGAATAAGAACAAGGAATGAAGGGGGAGAATGAAAATAATGAGAGACGGAGAAATAACGATTTATTTAAAAGCAAAATAAAACAGACAGCATGTCACAGCGAAGACTATCCATTGTAACTAATGGAATTGAAACTAAATCATTAATCTTTAAATCTCTCTCTCTCTCTCTCTCTCTCTCTCTCTCTGTCTTTCTTTCTTCTTTCTTTCTTTCTTTCTTTCTTTCTTTCTTTTTTCTTTCTTTCTTTCTTTCTTTCTTTCTTTCTTTCTTTCTTTCTTTCTTTCTTTCTTTCTTTCTTTCTTTCTTTCTTTCTCTTCTCTTTCTCTCTCTCTCTCTCTCTCTCTCTCTCTCTCTCTCTCTCTCTCTCTCTCTCTCTCTCTCTCTCTCTATCTTCTCTTCTCTTTCTTCTTTCTTTCTTTTCTCTTTTCTTTCTTTTCTTTCTTTCTTTCTTTCTTTCTCTCTCTCTCTCTCTCTCTCTCTCCTTCAGCAGTTTTGAAAAAATTTAATGACAAGGAGAGAAGGAGAAATAACGTAGGATAACGAATAAGAGAAAGAGAGACAGAAAGAGAAGAGGGAGAGAAGAAAGACAGACAGATAGACAGACAGGCGATAGATAGACAGATAGATAGGTAGGTAGATAGAGAGATAAACAGATAAATAAATATATAATTGATATATAAAAAGAAAGAGATGGGCGAGATAGAAAAATAGAGCCACACAGAAGAAGAAAATAAAAAAGAAAAGAAAAAAAAAGAAAAAGAAAAAAGACGAATAAGAAGAAAAAAGACGAATAAAAAGAAAAAAAAAAAGAAAAAAGGGGAAGAAAAAAAAAAGAAAAAAAAGAAAAAAAACAAGAAACAGAAAAAGAAAAACAAGAAGAATGAAAATGAAAAGGAACAGAACAAGGAAGAAAACAAGAAAAAAGAAAAAGAAAAAAAAAGAAGAATGAAAAAAGAGAAACAAGGACGAACAAGAAAAAAAAAAAAACAAAAAAAAAAGAAAAAGAAAGATAAAAGAAATACCCAAATCAGCCCACTCACCTTCAGCAGCTTCTTAATAGCTCTTAATAACGATGGACGAGACTTTTGTTGAGGCGCTCGCCGATGAGTGGAAGAGCACCAGAGGCACAGAGGAATCCCCACCATGGCGTAAGAAGATGGTGAAAGATTTGCCCGGGATGTGCTCGGGGTGGAGTGGCCGTCCTGGGGGGCACGGTCAGGATTGTGGCCGAAGGGGAGGGGGGGAGTACCCTGCCAACACGGGGGCACGTCAGGGCAATTGGCAAAGGGGGGAGGGGGGTTGGATGGCCGTATCCCTGGGGGGGCACGGTCAGGGCATTGCAAAGGGGGGAGGGGGCGGAGTGGCCGTACCCTGCAAACACGGGGGCACGGTCAGGGCATTGCAAAGGGGGAGGGGGGGTGGAGTGGCCGTACCTGCTGCCAGCACCGGGGGCACGTCAGGGCCATTGCAAAGGGGGGAGAGGGGGGTGGAGTGGGCCCGTACCTGCCAACACGGGGCACGGTCAGAGGCATTGCAAAGGGGGGGGAGGGGGGGTGGAGTGGCCGTACCGCTGGCAAACAGGGGGCACGGTCAGTGGCATTTGCAAAAGGGGGAAGGGGGGGTGAGTGGCCGCGCCTGCAACACGGGGGCACGGTCAGGGCATTGCAAAAGGGGGGATGGGGGGGAAGTGGAGTGGCCACGTCACATGGCTGAAACACGGGGGCACGGTTCAGGGCATTGCAAAGGGGGGGGGGGGGGTGGAGTGGCCGTACCTCTGCAACACGGGGGCACGGTCAGGGTCAGCGGCATTCATGCAAAGGGGGAGGGGGGGAGGGTGGGAGTGGCCGTACCCTGCAACACGGGGGCAACGGTCCCAGGGCATTGCAAAAGGGGGGGGGGTGGAAGTGGCCCGTACCCCTGCAAACACGGGGGCACGGGTCAGGGCATTGCAAAGGGGGGAGGGGAGGGGGGGAAAGGAGGGGGTCACGGTTTAGGGTTGCATTGGGGGGAGGGGGGGGAGTGGCCTGTACCCGTGCAACACGGGGCGCACGGTCCAGGGGCAAGGGCATTGCAAAGGGGGGAGGGGGTGGAGTGGCCGTACCCTGCAACATGGGGGGTCAGGGCAATTGCAAAGGGGGGAGGGGGGTGGAGTGGCCGTACCCACGGTGCATTGCACGGGGGCACGGTCAGGGCATTGCAAAGGGGAGAGGGGGGGAGGGGAAGGAGGGGGGCACGGTTAGCATTGCAAAGGGGGAGGGGGGTGGAGTGGCCGTACCCTGCAAACACGGGGGGCACGTCATGGCATTGCAAAGGGGGGAGGGGGGGTGGATGGCCTGTACCCTGCAACAGGGGGCACGGTCTAGGGCATTGGCAAAGGGGGGAGGGGGGGTTGGAGTGGCGGCACTGGGGCACGGTCAGGGCATTGCAAAAGGGGGGAGGGGGTGGAGTGGCCGTACCCTGCACGCGGGGGCACGGTCAGGGCAATTGCAAAGGGGGGAGGGAGGAGGGGAAGGAGGGGGGCACGGTTAGGGCAATTTGCAGAAAAAAGGGGGAGGGGGGTGGAGTCAGGCCGTACCCTGGGCAAACGGGGGCCATCGGTCAGGGCATTGCCAAAAGGGGGGGGAGGGGGGTGGAGTGGCCTAGCCCGCAAACACGGGGGCACGTCAAGGGCATTTGCAAAGGGGGAGGGAGGGAGGGGAAGGGAGGGGGGCACGGTTAGGGCATTGCAAAAGGGGGAGGGGGGTGAGTGGCCGTACCCTGCAACACGGGGGACCGGTCAGGGCTTGCAAAGGGGGGAGGGGGTGGAGTGGGCCGTACCCTGCAACATGGGGGCACGGTCAGGGCATGCAGAAGGGGGGAAGGGGGGTGGAAGTGCCGTACCTCTGCAACGACGGGGGCACGGTCAGGGCCATTGCACCAGGGGGGAGGGGGTGGAGTGGCCGTACCCTGCAACACGGGGGCACGGTCAGGGCATTGGCAAAAGGGGAGAGGGGGGGAGGGGAAGGAGGGGGGCACGGTCCAGGGCATTGCAAGAAGGGGGGATGTGGGGGTGTGGAAGTGGCCGTAACCCTGGCACACGGGGGACGGTCAGGCCATTGCAAAGGGGGGAGGGGGGTGGAGTGGCCGTACCCTGCACAGGGGGCACGTCAAGGTGCATTGCATAAGGGGGGAGGGGGGGTGGAGTGGCCGTACCCTGGCAACACGGGGCACGGGTTCAGGGCATTGCAAGGGGGAGGGGAGGGAGGGGAAGAAGGGGGCACGGTTAAGGGCATTGCAAAGGGGGAGGGGGGTGGAGTGGCCGTCACCACTTGCAACACGGGGGCAACGGTTCAGCGGCATTGCAAAGGGGGGAGGGGGGTGGAGTGGCGTACCCTGCAACATCGGGGGCACGGTCAGGGCATTGCAAAGGGGGGGGAGGGAGGGAGGGGAAGGAGGGGGGCAACGGTTAGGAGCATTGCAAAGGGGGGAGGGGGGTGGAGTGCCGTACCCCTGCAACACGGGGGCACGGTCAGGGCATTGCAAAAGGGGGGAAGGGGGTGGAGTGGCCGTACCCTGCAACATGGGGGCACGGCCGGGCCAAATTGCCAAAGGGGGGAGGGGGGTGGAGTGGCCGTACCCTGCAACACGGGGGCACGGTCAGGGCATTGCAAAGGGGGGGGGGGGTGGAAGTGGCCGTACCCTGCAAAACACGGGGCACCGGTTCAGGGCATTGGCAAAGGGGGAGAGGGGGGGAGGGAAAGGAGTGGGGCACGGTCAAGGGCATTGGCAAAAGGGGCGGAGGGGGGTGGAGTGGCCTACCCTGCAACACGGGGGCACGGTCAGTGGCAATTGCAAAGGGGGGGAGGGGAGGGAGGTGAAGGAGGGGGTCACGGTTTAGGGCATTGCAAAAGGGGGGAAGGAGGGGGGAGGGGAAGAGGGAGGGGGGCACGGTTAGGGCATTGCAAAATGGTGGGAGGAAGGGTGGAGTGGCCGTACCCTGCAAACACGGGGGCACGGTCAGGGCATTGCAAAAGGGGGGTAGGGGGTGGAGTGGCCGTGACCTCTGCAACACGGGGGCCGGTCAGGGCATTGCAAAGGGGGGAGGGGGGTGGAGTGGCGTACCTGCACACGGGGGCACGGTCAGGGCATTGCAAGGGGGGAGGGGAAAGGAGGGGGGCACGGTTAGGGCATTGCAAAGGGGGGAGGGGGAGGGAGGGGGCACGGTTAGGGCGAGCAAAGGGTGGGAGGGGGGAGGGGGCACGGTTAGGCATTTCAAACGGGGGAGGGGGGGAAGTGGCCGTACCCCTGCAACAACGGGGGGCACGGGACATGGCATTGCAAAGGGAGGAAGGGGTGGAGTGGGCCGTACCCTGCAAACAGGGGGCACGGTTTAGGGCATTGCATAAGGGGGGAGGGGGGTGGATGTGGCCGTACCCTTGCAACACGGGGGCACGGTCAGGGCATTGCAAGGGGGGAAGGGGGGGGAGTGGCCGTACCCTGCAACACGGGGGCACGGTCAGGGCATTGCAAAAGGGGGGAGGGGAGGGAGGGGAAGGAGGGGGCACGGTTAAGGGCATTGCAAAGGGTTGGGAGGGGGGAGGGGGGCACGGTTAGGGCATTGCAAGGGTGGGAGGGGGGAAGGGGGGCAACGGTTAGGGCATTGCAAGGGTGGGAGGGGGGAGGGGGCACGGTTAGGTGCATTGCAAAGGGGGGAGGGGGGTGGAGTGCCGTACCCTGCAACACGGGGGCATCGGTCAGGGCAATTGCACAAGGGGGAGGGGGGGAGTGCGCCCGTACCCTGCAACACGGGGGCAAAGGTCAGGGCATTGCAAAGGGGGAGGGGAAAGGGAGGGGAAGGAGGGGGCAACGGTTAGTGCATTGCAAGGTGGGAGGGGGGAGGGGGGCACGGTTAGGCATTGGCAAGGGTGGGAGGGGGAGGGGGGCACGGTTAGGGAATTGCAAAGGGGGGAGGGGGTGGAGTGGGCCGTACCCAGCAACACGGGCACGGTTCAGGCAGTTGCAAGGGGGGAGGGGGGGAGTGGCCCGTACCATCTGCACACGGGGGCACGGTCCAGGGCATTGCAAAGGGGGGAGGGAGGGAGGGGAAGGTAGGGACGGCACGGTAGGGCATTGCAAGGGTGGAGGGGGGAGGGGGGCACGGTTTAGTGCATTGCATAGGGTGGGAGGGGGGAGGGGGCACGGCTTAGGGCATTGCCAAAGGGGGGAGGGGGGGATGGCCGTACTCCTGCAAACACGGGGCACGGTTAGGGCATGCAAGGGGGAGGGGAGGGAGGGGAAGGGTGAGGGTCACGGTTTAGGGCATTGGCAAGGGTGGAGGGAGGGGGGGGAAGGGGGCACGGTTAGGGCATTGCAAAGGGGGGAGGGGGGTAGGGGCTGACCCTGCACACGGGGGCACGGTTAGGGCATTGCAAAGGGGGAGGGGTTGGAGTGGCCGTACCCCTGCAAACCAGGGGACACGGTACGGGTAATTGCAAAGGGGGAGGGGGAGGGAAGGGAAAGGAGGGAGGCACGGTAGGGCATATGCAAAGGGTGGGAGGGGGGAGGGGGGCACGGTAGGCATTGCAAAGGGGAGGGGGGGAGTGCGGCCGTACCCTGCAAACACGGGGCACGTTGGGGCATTCGCAAAGGGGAGGGGGGGAGTGGTCCGTACCTGCAATCACGGGGGCACGGTTAGGGCCCCCCCAAAATTTGCCCCAAAGGGGGGAGGGGAGGGGAGGGGAAGGAGGGGGCACGGTTAGGGCAATTGCAAAGGGGGGAAGGGGAGGTGAGGGAAAGGAGGGGGCCGGTTTAGGGCATGCAGGGTGGAGGGGGAGGGGAACACGGTTAGGGCATGCAAGGGTGGGAGGGGGAGGGGGCACGGTTAGGCGCATTTGCAAGGGTGGGAGTGGGGAGTGGGCAGCGGTTAGGGGGCATTGCAAAGGGGAGGGTGGAGTGGGGCACGGTTACAGGGCATCTGCAAAGGGGGGGAGGGGTGGAGTGGGGCACGGTTAGGGGCATTGCAAAGGGGAGGGGAGGAGGGGAAGAGGGGGCACGGTAAGGGCCATTGCAAAGGGGGGAAGGGCGGGAGGGGGCACGGTCAGGGGGCATTGCAAAAGGGGGGAGGGGGGTGAGTGGGCCGTACCCTGCAACACGGGGGCACAGGTCCAGGCAGGGGCATTGCAAGGGGGGAGGGGGGAGGGGGGCACGGATAGGGCATTGCAATGGTGGGAGGGAGGAATGTAGTGGCCGTACGCTGCAACATGGGGGCACGGTTAGGGGTCATTGCAAAGGGGAGGGGTGGAGTGGGGCACGGTTTAGGGCATTGGCAAAGGGAGGGGGTGGAGTGGGCACGGTTAGGCATTGCGCAATGGGGGAGGTGGTGATGGGGCACGGTTAGGGCATTGCAAAGGAGGAGGGGGGGGAGTGGCCGTACCCTGCCAACACGGGGGCACGGTCAGGCGGCATTTGCAAAGGGGAGGGGGGAGTGGGGCACGGTTATAGGGATTGCAGAGGTGTAGGAGGATGAGTGGCCGTGCCTGCATAATGGGGCACGGTTATGGTATTGCAAAGGTGGGAGGGCAGAAGGAGTTGTCTCGTGAGAGAAGTGGTTTGGGTCGGGGTATTAAATCATAATGTGCAGAGCGATGGTGATGTTGCAATGCCAAGTAATGCAATAACTGACACGGTTAGTTAAAGTTTATTTATAGAAGTGATTCATATTCAGATGACTTGAATAATTAGTGAATAATACAAGGGATCTAAATACTGAATCATGGATTATCTTTATGAAATGACAATATCACTACTGATATTTCTAATATTACCACTAATAAAGGCAAAATAAATAGCAATAATGACAATGGTGGTGATTATGAAAAAAATGATGACCATAATGATTTTATAGTAATAATAATGATGATAATAACAGCAACAGGAATAACAATTGTAATAATGCCTGTAATAATAGTGATAATAATAATGATGATGGTAACAATGATAATGATAATAATGATGATAATACTAATGATAATACTAATAGTAATAATAATGATGATAATAAAAATAATAATGATAATAACAATAATAACAATAATAAGGTTGATAATAATAATAATATGATAATAATCAAAATAACAATAATAATAACAACCACATTAATGATAATACCGATAATAATCATGAAAACGATGAAAATAACTTTATCAGCAACAACGATAACAAACACAGTAAAAATACAAAAAGGACAACAGTAATAATGATATTAATAATAACAAAGTTCCAAAAACGATGATAATACCATCAATGCCGAGAATCAGACACACGAAAAAAAAAAAAAAAAAAAAAAAAACAAATGAATATTTTCAACTGTCTCGCCTTCGTTAATACAGAAATAACGATTGGGAAGAAGAAAAAAGTGAAGGAAAAAAAAAAAGAGAGTGCTCACTGCCTCCATTACCGCGAAATTGAGACCGGAGAGCGCACTTTCCCGAGGCCATTTTGCCAGATTTGATCACAGTTTGGTGCTATTTTCGGCTCTTTTCGTAAATTCTCTAAAAATAGGAAAGGAATAGAAAAAAAGAAGTTGTTATTTTCTCTCTGCGTTAAGTACAGTTCTTCTATTCGGATGTGGTGGGGTGGGGGGAGGGGGAGGGTGAGGGTGGGGGAGTGGGAGGGTGTGTGTGTGTGTGTGTGTGTGTGTGTGTGTGTGTGTGTGTGTGTGTGGTGTTGTGCGCGTGTTTGTGTGTGTGCGTGTGCGCGTGTTTTGTGTGTGCGTGTGCGTGTGTGTGTGCGTGTGCGTGGTATGTGCGCGTGTGAGTGTAGGTGTATCCAAACGCAGAAACGAGCGGGCGAGTGTATGCCGGCGGAGCTCCCGCGTGTCCTGATCCGCACACGCCATAAACCCGGAGCTTACGATGTTTGCGCAAGAAGGTGAGGTGAGTGTAATGGAAGCGGTAATTATGAAGGTCTCCGGGGGGGGAACGTTGCTGTCTGCTTGCGCCTGTTTGTCACGAGGGAGACGGACGGGGGGGGGGGGGGGGGGGGGGGGGGGGGGCGGGGACTTACGCAAATTACATTATATGCACACAGACACAAACACACACATATATACATGTATACATCTGCTCTTCTCTCTCTCTCTCTCTCTCTCTCTCCTCTCTCTCTCTCTCTCTCTCTCTCTCTCTCTATATATATATATATATATATATATATATATATATATATATATATATATCCCACATATACATGTACCTATATTCATTTTTATGCATGAATATATACATACATACATATATATAAGTATAATGTAATAATATATATANGGAAAAAGAAAGAAAACAAAGGAGAACAAGAAAAAACAGAAAAAAAAGAAAAAGAAGAATGAAAAAAGGAAGAAAAACAAGGAGCAAGAAAAAAAAAAAAAAAAAAAAAAAAAAAAGGAAAACAGATAAAAGAAATACCCAAATCAGCCCACTCACCTTCAGCAGCTTCTCTTAATACTCATTAATAACGATGGACGAGACTTTTGTTGAGGCGCTCGGCCGATGAGTGGAAGAGCACCAGAGGCACAGAGGAATCCCCACCATGGCTGTAAGAAGATGGTGAAAGATTTGCCCGGGATGTGCTCGGGGTGGAGTGGCCGTACCTGCAACAGGGGGCACGGTCAGGGCATTGCAAGGGGAGGAAGGGGGGCGAGGGGGGCACGGTCAGGGCATTGCAAGAAGGGGAGGGGGGGAGTGGGTACCCTGCCAAACACGGGGGCACGTCAAGGCAATTGGCAGAAGGGGGGAGTGGCCGTACCCTGCAACACGGGGGGCACGGTCAGGGCATTGCCAAAGGGGGGAGGGGGCGGAGTGGCCGTACCCTGCAAACAGCGGGGGCACGGTGGGCAACGGTTAGGGCATTGCAAAGGGGGGAGGGGGTGGAGTGGCCGTACCCTGCAACACAGGGGCACGGTCAGGGCATTTGGCAAGGGGGGGAGGGGAAGGAGGGGGGCACGGTTAGGGCATTGCAAAGGGGGGGAGGGCGGGGTGGGGAGTGGCCGTACCCTGCAACACGGGGGCCACGGTCATAGGGCATTGCAAGGGGGGAGGAGGGGTGGAGTGGCCGTACCCTGCAACACGCGGGGGCCAAAGGGTCAGGGCATTGCAATGGGGGCCAGGGGGGGGGGGCACGGTCAGGGCATTGCAAAGAGGGGGGAGGGAGGAGTGGCCGTACCCTGCAACACGGGGGCACGGTCAGGGCATTGCACAAAGGGGGGAGGGAGGGAGGGGAAGGAGGGCCTGGCACGGTCAGGGCATTGCAATGGGGGGAGGGGGAGGTGGCACGGTCAGGCATTGCAAAGGGGGAGGGGGGTGGAGAGTGGCCGGTACCCTGCAAACACGGGGGCACGGTTAGGGCATTGCAGAGATAGGAGGGCGTAGTGGGCCGCGTGCCGTACCAGGGCGGCACGGTAGGGACTGAGTTGGGGGGGTGAGTTGGGGGCACGGTCAGCGGCATTGCAAAGGGCGCAGGAGGGGGGAGGGGGGAGGGCACGGCCGGTCAGGGGCATTGCAATGGTGGAGGAGGAGTGCCTCAGATGGCCGTACCCTGCCAACACGGGGCACGGTCAGGGCATTGCAAAGGTGGGAAGGGGCAGAAGGAGAGTTGTTCCGTGAGAGAGTGTTGGGTCGGGTAATTAAATCATAATGTTGAAATGTAATGCACTGAGCATGCGTGATGTGCAATGCCAAGTAATGCAATAACTGACACGGTTAGTTAAAGTTATTTTATAGAAGTGATTCATATTCAGATGACTTGAATAATTAGTGAATAATACAAGGGATCTAAATACTGAATCATGATTATCTTTATGAAAGGCAAAATAAAATAGCAATAATGACAATGGTGGTGATTATGAAAAAAATGATGACCATAATGATTTTATAGTAATAATAATGATGATAATAACAGCAACAGGAATAACAATTGTAATAATGCCTGTAATAATAGTGATAATAATAATGATGATGGTAACAATGATAATGATAATAATGATGATAATACTAATGATAATACTAATAGTAATAATAATGATGATAATAAAAAAATAATAATGATATAACAATAATAACAATAATAAGGTTGATAATAATAATAATATGATAATAATCAAAATAACAATAATAATAACAACCACATTAATGATAATACCGATAATAATCATGAAAACGATGAAAATAACTTTATCAGCAACAACGATAACAAACACAGTAAAAATACAAAAAGGACAACAGTAATAATGATATTAATAATAACAAAGTTCCAAAAAAACGATGATAATACCATCAATGCCGAGAATCAGACACACGAAAAAAAAAAAAAAAAAAAAAACAAAACATCACAATCTGAATATTTCAAACTGTCTCGCCTTCGTTAATATCAGAAATAACGATTGGGAAAAGAAAAAAAAAGTGAAGGAAAAAAAAAGAGAGTGCTCACTGCCTCCATTACCGCGGAATTGAGACCGGAGAGCGCACTTTCCCGAGGCCATTTTGCCAGATTTGATCACAGTTTGGTGCTATTTTCGGCTCTTTTCGTAAATTCTCTAAAAATAGGAAAGGAATAGAAAAAAAAGAAGTTGTTATTTTCTCTCTGCGTTAAGTACAGTTCTTCTATTTCGGATGTGGGTGGGTGGGGGAGGGGGAGGGTGAGGGTGGGGGAGTGGGAGTGTGTGTGTGTGTGTGTGTGTGTGTGTGTGTGTGTGTGTGTGTGTGTGGTGTGTGTGTGTGTGTGTGCGCGTGTTTGTGTGTGCGTGTGCGCGTGTTTTGTGTGTGTGCGTGTGGTGCGTGTGCGTGTGTGCGTGTATGTGCGCGTGTGAGTGTAGGTGTATCCAAACGCAGAAAACGAGCGGGCGAGTGTATGCCGGCGGAGCTCCCGCGTGTCCCTGATCCCGCACACGCCATAAACCCGGAGCTTACGATGTTTGCGCAAGAAGGTGAGGTGAGTGTAATGGAAGCGGTAATTATGAAGGTCTCCGGGGGGGGGGGAACGTTGCTGTCTGCTTGCGCCTGTTTGTCACGGAGGGAGACGGGGGGGGGGGGGGGGGGGGGGGCGGGGGACTTACGCAAATTACATTTATATGCACACAGACACAAACACACACATATATCATGTATACATCTCTCTCTCTCTCTCTCTCTCTCTCTCTCTCTCTCTCTCTCTCTCTCTCTCTCCTCTCTCTCTCTATATATATATATATATATATATATATATATATATATATATATATCCACATATACATGTACCTATATACATTTTTATGCATGAATATATATACATACATACATATAATAAGTATATATGTATATAATATATATATATATACACATATATATACATATGTATGTACATGTACATGTATATACATATACACATACACATGTCTAAATAATATGTATAATATATGATTATATATATTCATATGT